CTCTCAGTTCCTCAGGAAAAGCTGCTTTGCCCTTCCTTGAAAGCTCAAGGTTGGAGTCTGAGAAGACACTAGCCAGGAATAAATGACCCCTACAAAGGACAGGCACTAAGGAGCAGGGAGGGCACATGCCATCTCAAAGTCTTCCAGCTATTTTTTTTTTTGAGACATAGCCATACACCACACACTTTATTGAAGCATTCAGCCACTGCCACATAGACCTCAGCATAGTCAGCATGTGTGCGTGTGTGGAGATCCAACTCTCTGGAGACTCAGTCCTCCATCTCCCCCTTCTGGAACAAGGTCTCCCTGTTGTTCATAGCTGTGTCTCCCAACCTAGCTGGCCCTTGAGCCTCCACTGAGTCTCCTTGCCATCTCCCATCTGATCATAGCAATGCTGAGACTACAGGAATGTGCTCCCATGCCAGGCTTTGCGTGGCTTCTGGGAATTCAAATTCAGGCCCCTGTGCTTACGTGGCAAGCTTTTTATCTGCTGAGGCATTTCCCCAACCTCCTTAGAACATTGTGATTAAAAGGAAATTCGTACCCTGCAGCCACCACCTCCCCCTCATTCTTGTCCCTGTGTCTGTTTCTGTCTCTGTGGATGGGCATATTCTAGAACAGTTCCTGTAAGTGAAGTCATGTAACATGATGTAATATGTGATCTTTGAGTTTTCCTTCTTTCATTCACTCATGTTTACCATCACCATGGTTCTTAACAGTGTTTCATCTCTTTTCTTGGCTGAATAATATTCCCTTCTGGGTCAGCTCATGCTTTATTCATCAATTTGTTGATGGACATTTGGCTGTTTCAAAACATCCACATGAAGACCACATGGATAAGGATAGAGCCAGGGTCCAGGTCTCACAAGAGAGACATATGAAACTCACATGGTCAGGAGAGAACTGCTTCTGGAACAAGGGAACTGCCCCCATGTTGAAGGCTGGCAAAAGCCAGAGGCCATCGGGTGTTGGTAAATGAGATTAAGAAATGAAGGGAAGTACCCAGGGAGACATCAGTTCCTAAGAAATTGTCACCTTTAAGCTGAGGAGGGTAGGTTGGCCTTGTAGAAAGTGAGAGGGCCAGGAGAGCCAAGGGGTGGGGCAGCCAAGATGGGAAAGGCACTGAGTAGGACAAGACAATAGATTGATAGGAGTAATGCAGGGAGCAGCCTAGGAGGAAGGAAACATGGTGAGATCTCTGAAAGGGCTGTGAGTTTTGTGGTTCTGGGTCTTATGGGGTCTTTCAAGCTCTGCTCCTGAGAGCCGGGAACCAACTGTAGAGAGCAGGCTGGGTGAAGAAGCTATAAAGCCTACAAAAAACTATGACCAGCCCCGCAACTCATCCCCAAAGGTGGGGTAGTGGCACATTTTGGTGGTAACCAACAGCTGCCTGATTGCACATATGGCCTGATCAATAGGAGGAAATTCATGCCTGATAATATAATTCTAGTCATCTTTGCATGGCCAGTGAGGTCATAGACCCTAGAAGAGAACCTACTGCAGCCCTTTCCTAAACCAGTATAACCAAGTGCATTCTAAATATGTATCCTTGCATCCACAGGTTAAATGTAGCTCTCCATCCCCATCAAAGAAGCTTCTTCTTATAGCAGGAGATAGTACAAAAATCTACAAATGGGCAAAATGCAGAAAGCAAATTACTATGGATTTGACACCCCCCCCCCCAAACATGGAGGAAGAAAGGGCAAAAAGATTGTAAGAGTCAGAGGATCAAAAAAAAAGAGTCAGAGGATCAGAAGTCTACTTCTAGATACTGTCCTCCTATATGACCAGGAAGCTACCTCCATGAAACCTCAACAATGCGATTGCCTACACAAGATTTGAAAAATGCCAATGTGGATGGGGGAACCATTACGAGGCTCCACCCCTAGCTGAAGAACTACAGGGAAGTAAGGCTGCTGTAGGTGGGAGAATCTCTCCAGAGATGAGCTCCCTGGTAGGTTATCCAAGTCCAAGTGGCCACTTGACACAAATGAGCAACACCGTGGATTTGGTAGCGTGTGCATGTGTGTGTAAAACTAATAATGAAAGAAGAGGTCACAAGTGTGGGAGGGAGTGGGGCAGACAAAGGAGGAGTTGGCGTGGGGAGAGGGAGGAGTGGAAATAGTATAAATACAGTTCTCATGTATGAAGTTCTCAAAAAAAAATTCAATTTAAAAAATCCGTTTGAAGACCAGGTAGATGACCAGGACCAGCTGCTGTCCTCCCCAGTCTCCAGCGGAACAGAGCTTTCACATACCAGCAGGGTGATGGCTACAATCTCACAGAGTCTCCAGAATAATAACCTGCATGGACTTTCACCATCAGGCCAGGGCCCTGGGACCGACACCGCCCTTACTCGGCAGTCTTCACTTTGTGTGTGGAATGACGGACATCTCTGTCCATTCTGAGCTTGCCAAGAAAGAATCTGGGGTGGGGAGGGGTATAAAGAAATGGCTCAGTACGGGGGGCGGGGGATTCCCAGCACCCACCTGGTGGCTCACAACCATCAGTAACTCCAGTTCCAGAGATCTGACACTTACTTCTGACCTCTGTGGGCCCCATGCAAGCATGTGTTGCACAGACATACATGAAAGCAAACACTCGTGTACATACAATTTTGTATATTTTATGTGTATATATACATACATACACACATACGTATGTACATACATACGCATGCCAGGGAAGGGGTCTGGGGATGTGGCTCCATCTCTAGATTGTCTAGCATGTACCATATAGGGAGCCCTAGGTTCAATCCCAGCATTACGTACAATGGGTGTGGTGGTGCCCAACACTCTGGAGATAGAAGAGGATAAAAAAGATATGAAGTTCAAGGTCATCCTCAGCTACTTAGTGAATTTAGAGCTAGCCTGGGCTACAGGAGGCCCTGTCTCTCCTCCCCCTATGATGGAAAAGTACAATAAAGGGGGTGGGGGCAGGGAGGGCAGCAGTGGCCTCTGAGCAGGGAGGGTCTGCTGATGAAGCCTCATCAAGGAGCCAGGATATGAGCTACTTCCGTTCCCTTTGTATATGCGTGTAAGCTTATTGTGTGAGGGAGGGAACGACAAATACGCATGGAGGTTAGAGGATGTCTTAGGTGTAGGTCCTCCCCTTCCAGCCGGTTTGAGATAGAGTCTGTTCTTCACTCTTGCGTTCCTGTGGCTAGCTGGCCTGGGAGTTTGCAGGAGGATTCTCCTCTTCACTTCGTCCCACGTTGCCTTTATATGGGTGTGGAGGATTTGAACTCAGGTCCACGCACTTACACAGCAAGCGCTCTACCCATTGAACAACCTCCCCAGACCATTTCTGCTCGGATTGCTCAACCAGGCAGAGAAGGGACTTGACTCATCCAGGTGCTCTGAGCAGGCACCCAGGAAGCTTTGACTCACAGCCCACTTCCCACTGCGTGGTGGTCAAAAGGCTAGTTTAAAAAGATACGGCCTTGATGGATCCTGGAAGGTGACGGCGCCAGGAGGCAGCCACCACAATGGCAGTGCGGAAGCAGAGAGACATCCTGGGTCCGGTAGGCCTTCTTCTGTGGTATATTACACGGAAAGTAACTCCAGGCAGCCAGACCCGCTGGATAGACCACTTCAACTCAGGAGCATCTAGTCCTTTGGGGGAAAACTGGGCTTGCTGGTTTTGGCCTCCAGGGCACAGTTCCGGGACAGTGGGGCAGGACTGAGGCTTTTCCAAGGTCAGTGCATTCTCCTTCTCCTTCAACGAACCCTCCACGGGCCTCGGGGGAAGGATGGGACTGGGAGGCCCGCTGGAATCCAGAGAAGTGTCGTTGAGCAAAAAAGCCCGGGAACTGAACAAGAACTAGTCTAGCTGGATTCAGGAGGCACCGTCGGGAAAAGAGACTCAAACTTGGAGAGCTGCCTGTGAGGTGCAGACATGAGAAAGGAGGGGGCAGAGTGGGCTTGTCTGCATCCCCTCCCGTCAGGGCACCCGGTTCTGAGGCGCCTTGAAACCAACGAGGTATTGGGTGTGCATGACGGACAGAATGGAGACAAGGTGCCCGGGGGACATGACATTGCCCAGCGCAGGTCTGGCCCACTCCTCAAGCCCTTCTCACACTCAAAAGGGCACAGATGTGCACCAGCAGTGCGTGGACACCCGGGTCCGGGAGGAGGAGCAGGGTGAGACGGAGTAGGCGTGGAGCTTTGCTCAAGACACTCCCCATCACTGGAGCCACGCGCCAGGCGTACGCTTCCTCCTGGCCCTGCATAGGACTGCGCCAGCTGTCATTGGCCAAACGGGCGATCCCAGATTGGCTGAGACCCCGGCTCCCGCCTCCTCCGCGAAGGGGAGGGACGTGGGTGCGAGTGTGTGTGGCGCGTGCTGCCCTGCGGGGGGGGGGGTTAGGGTTGGGGGGAGAGGGTCGCAGTCCTCTAACCTCTAGACCACTGCAAAACCTCCTGGGGTTCCTCACCTGGCAGCGCACTCTAGGTGTGCGGAGACCTGGCAGCTCTTGGGGCTGAGCTCCAGGGTGGGTGGGGGCGACTGGAGAGTACATTCGGACCTTCTCACAGTCCCTAGGGGTGTGGGACGTGCGGAGCGCAGTGCAGAGCGCTCTGCACTCTAGGACTTGTCGAGGACACACTAAGCACCTGCCCGGAGCAGGGAGGCGCGTCATTAGCCTGCGAACTGCACCCGGGGGGGGGGGGGGGGGGGGCGCGCGGTGTCAGCTTTGCTGAATGTGTACGCCAGGGGGAGGGCGAAGCGTGGCGGGAGGGCGAGGCGAAGGAAAGAGGGCGTGAGAAAGGAGGCGGCGGCTGGCGGAGGAGGGTTATCTATATATTTAAAAAGGAGCCGCCTGAGCCGCGCAAACGGAGACCCGGGGAGCGCCTGACCGCACGCGCGGGACGCGAGCGCACCACGCTTCTCTACTCTCTCTGCCCTTGCATGACACGGGGTCCCAGGGCTCCAGAAGGCCAGAGACGCGTTCCTCAGGAAGTCCTGCGGCAGTGCCCTGCCTGAGGCCCGTGGAGGTGCGACCGGTCGCTTCCCACCGCACCCGGTTCCTTGCGGGCACTTTCCCTGTGGTGCACCGAAGCTCGTACCAGGCGCGCCCGCGGGCTGGATGCAAGCATGATGAACGGAGGCGGGCTGCCCTTACTCGCGCCCTCCTCTTCTGGAGTCTCCGGAGCCTGCGCTGCTCGCCGGAGACCCGCGTCCCCCGAACTGCTGCGCTGCAGCCGACGGCGGCGATCTGGCACAACCGAGGCCAGTAGCAGCTCGGCGGCGGTGGCACGCCGCAACGAGCGCGAGCGCAATCGCGTGAAGCTGGTAAACTTGGGCTTCCAGGCGCTGCGACAGCACGTGCCGCACGGCGGCGCCAGCAAGAAGCTCAGCAAGGTGGAGACGTTGCGCTCCGCGGTGGAGTACATTCGTGCGCTGCAGCGGCTGCTTGCGGAGCACGACGCCGTGCGCGCGGCGCTTGCCGGGGGGCTGCTAACACCCGCCACCCGACAGGCGGCCGCCCTCGCGCCACCCACCGCCTCCCCGGCCAGCGCTTCTCTGTCCTGTGCTTCTCTGTCCTGCGCTTCTACATCCCCTGACCGCGGGGCCAGCTCGGAGCCTGGCTCCCCGCGCTCCGCCTATTCGTCGGAGGACAGCGGCTGCGAGGGAGAGCTGAGCCCGGTGGACTGCGAGCTCCTTGACTTCTCCAGCTGGTTAGGGGGCTACTGAGCACCCCAACCCCCTAAGGTAAATTCCAGGGCGGCGGGGAGGAGAGGCGGTAAGGGTGACACGTGGTGGGCGGGCCTGGCGCTTCGAGCCAGGGGGACCCAGTGCAACCGGGGCTCAGCCGGGGCGATCACTTCGATTTCGAGCAGGCTTCATTTTTCCTCAACCTTTTTCAAGCCTGAGCAAGACCAGGGTTTGTTTGTCCGGGATTGCAAAACTTCCTCTCCGGGTTCTGCTGTGGGTGGGGGAGGGGAGGGCAGGAGAGGGGAGCGGCCTCAGGGCCGGGCCGGCGAGGTCCCTGTGCTGGCGGAGCCCCGCCGAGTCGGGTGCTGGAGGCGGGGTGAGTTTGCATTGCAAATCGCGTCCTGGGCCGGGGTGCCGAATGACTCGGCGGGAGCGGGCCCCTGAGTCACTGCGGGCCGGCTCTGAACGTGAGCCCCGCCCCCATCGGCGCCTCGGAGCGAATCGAGGCACCCACGAACTGAGACTCCAAAACTAACCAAGCAAACGAAACTACCTACTGCACCTTGGGAGGTGGGGCGCGGCCCGCACACATTAACGTGTTTTATCCTCTTCACAGCTGCATCCCGGTTGTCTACTGGTGGACCGACCCGCGTTTCTTGCCTACGGAGCCTGGGAGGATGCCTTGCCCATGCTGTCTAGTGCATCCTCACCAAATGTTGTGGCACTGGGGCTTGGAAATTTCTCAGGAGAAAGGATTTTACAGTGGCAATATATTTTTTACGAATTAACTTGAACTGCTGGGAGGGACTCTGCTGAAAATATGAAGACTTATTTTTTTACAAAGGATCCTTAGGCTTGGAGCACAATAAAGGTTGTCTCTGTACCTCACCCCCACTGTCTAGAACTTTCCAACCTGGCCAAAGTGTGGACCAGTCAGGCCCTGAGGGCAAGATGCCTGGCTGCACCCTTCTGCTGAAGCCTAGCCTGGTTCTGATGTTTGGCCAGTGTGGGAAACCTGTTGTTGCAAAGTGTACTGTTCTATAAAAGCTTGTTTTTCAAATTGCTGTTTGCAGTGCCTTCTACCGTCTCATCCCTGTTTCTCAAGGGAGGGCTAGGCCTGGGTGGGTAGCACTGGCCAAGACTTCTCTTTGAGACCTACTTTGCTTGGATAGATGCAGAGGTCTGAGTACCTACTCGAGCCATCTCTCCACAGATGGAACAGCAATTCAGACACCTTGGGAAGAGTGTGTGAGAGGGCCAGGTGCAGGGATGTTAGGCTGAAGGAAGGTGGATCTCTGGACTGTGGGCATCTCTAGGTCCAGGTCCCTCTCTTCCTTACCACCTGGGTGGCCCTTGGTAAATTGCCTCATTTGCAAATGGTGCTGAGCCTAAAGCTACCTTCCAGGTTTTAGGGGAGAGGCTGGAAAACCTGTCCATGCATGAGCTTGCAGCCAGCATGTTCTGGGCTCCTGTGTTGGCTGCTAGGACTAATGGCCTTGGTGAGGACCTACTGATCTCTACTCGATTTAGTGAGCAAAGAAGAGCTGGAAGCTTCCCAAGGCCTTCCCACCCACGTTCCCTAGCCCAGGGAGCCAGGCTGTGATTGCTAAGATATTACCCAGCTTCACCTTTGACCCTGAGCCTCCGCAGCTTTGAAGTCTCCCGTGTGCCCAAAGCTCACTTTTATTGCAAGGTCTTGGGAGGGGCTGAGGGGATCCCCAGGTGGTTTTAGGGTGCTGCAGGCATCCCTTTCTTCAGGAGGGAGTGGTTGGGGCACAACCATTGGAGTTGTGGGAAGCCGGAAGGAAGGGCTGTGCCATGGAGCAGATATACCTGTGGTGGCTGCACAGAATGCCATATACAAGAAGTTCTTTTGTATGATGGCAGGGTTCCTTCCCTGCAGGACCCATACCCTAAAGCCAGAACCAAAGTTGAATCTGCATCTTGGGTCAAAGGTTGCCACCTGCTCTGATGAAGATCGGGCTCAGTTTGGGTCAGCCCAGCTACTGCTTCAGCCCACAGGACTGAGTGGACCTGTCTTGGAGGGCAACGTGGGACATATGGCCATTTAGGGAGGGCCACCCTTTTGCCAGGAGCCCGTTGCCAGCCAGTGTCTTCACTGAGCCAGGAGACCTGATTTGTCTCCAGATTTCTTTCCTGTTATCTCAAAGTGGCTAACGGGGGGGGGGGGGGGGGCGCTGGGGGACTGGAAGCCCAAGCTTCCTTGTGTCCACAAATCTCCAGTGATGTCAATGGTGTGCTCCTGTTGTATTATGGGATATCTCCAGCTCAATAGAACTCTGAAGTCTTCATTAAACAACTTTATTGGCTCACACCTGTAATCTGAGTGCTCAGGAGGCTGAGACAGGATGATCGGTTTGCGTTTTCAGGCCTGTCTGAGCTCAAAGAGGTGGGAAGGGGGGAGGGGCAGGGCAGATGTCTCAGTAGGTGAAAGTGCTTGCTGTGCAAGTATGAGGACCTGAGCTTAAATCTTCAGAACCCACAGAGAAGTTGGACATACGGTACATCAGTAATCCCAGTGCCCCTATGAAAAGATGGGAGGCAAAGGCAGGGAGTCTCTGGAAGTGTGCGGGCCAGCCAGACTGGCATACGCAGCAGAAAAAACAAGAGCATTGTCAAACAAGGTGGAAGCTTTGGACCAACAACTGATGTTGTCCTCTGACCTTCATGCCTGAGTAGGAGCATAGGCAACACAGGCACAAAGGAACTTTTCTGCTTTGTGAACTGAGGGTGTTTTGGTGTGCTAGACAAAAACTCCAACCTCAGGGAACTTGCCTTATGCCTGGACCAGATCATGGGCAGCTAGGTGAAAGAAACTTTGCTTAAGCCCACTGCCAGGTTATGGCTTAAGGAGGCTACCAAAGCCCTACCCTGCTTCCTGCTTCTACTGAGGCAGGAGACCTGATTTGTGGTTTTAAAGCACCCCCAGGCTGTGATTTCCTGGCCTAAAGACACCCGGCTGCCTTTTTTAAATCACCCACAGTGATGAAGGTGGAGCTTGCCAGCCAGTGGCACCATTCTGTCTTTGATCTGTAGAACCAGGGTCCATCCCGTGTTTATACACCAAACTTGCTGGATAGATCTCTTAAGCGTATTGGAAGCAATCTCTCCCAGGTGTCATGTTTGGAGCCCCTGATCCTGTGTTTCCTGAGATGGTGACAGAGGGATGAGAGTGGAGCTCTTTGGCAGTGCACTATCCCGTGCCCGTATTCTGCCTCAAGACATGAGGTTTGGTCACCGTATAACGTTAGCCAAACCTATCCCAATGGGGCCAATGTGGGGAGTGGAAGAACTATTTACAAGCAGCCAGACAACAGGTGAGTCACCTGAGCCCTTGGCTGCTGCTCCTCTGGTTAGAAAGTCCCTTGAGCTGTCAATTACAGAACACCAATCCCCACTGATTAAGTGCCTGAAGCCACAGAACTTGATCATGGCAGGTAAATGGGATTTCAGACCCTGGACCCTCATCTCATCCTTGAATAGTCACGAAGGCGGCCCCAACATTTGGCATTCTGGATGAAGAAACCTGGACAGCAGAGTCCCTCCTGGACAGGCTCCCTCATGGCCCAGGGCCCTTGGCTTGCCCTAGGCTCTGCTGGAAGGAGAGACGCCCATTCCAGGCAGAAGATGATCTGGATCAGTTTGGGGAATGGGGCAGGGATAGCCTCTTGGAGTTCTCAACCACAGGACAGGGTGGAGTAGCGTGCCTCAGAATGGTGATCGTTCACGGAGTCATACTCAGTGTGCCTGGCAGGGTGAGGAGGTGGACGGCAATCTAATGGCCTCAGGCCCCAGGGAGCTTTGGGAATCCTTTTTTGCTTGTGATCAATAAATGTTCTTGTCTCTTAATCACTGGAACACCTGGGGAGTACCAGCGTGCTGTCCTGGGAAGACTTCTATGGACTCTGACTCAAAAATCATGTTCCCCCAAGTGTGTCTCTTCACATTGTGAGTATGGGGGTGGGGGCTGGGGAATAGTCACTGACCCACAAGGACCCCAATATAGCTCAGGGAAGTTGGCAAGGCTGAATATCCTATGAACTCAGGTCTCCAGCCACACATCCAGGGAATCTTTACTGGAACCACTCTCTGCATTACAAATGGGGTGTACCACATGCCACCTGGGAGCCCAGTCTCTGGTGGATGCCATCTTTCAGACAGCCAATGTGTCCCTTGCATTGTAGTGTCTAGGGGACATGCACTGGGTCCCAGGCTGCAGCAGAAGTCTGGAGTTGTCTCCATTTTCCTCAATTTCTCAGAGCCATCTACACAATGCTGATCTCATGGGGCGGCCACCAGTCCTGTATGCAGGGTTCAGCTGAGCTGTGTAGACTAGTCTGACAGTCAAGGCCACACTGCATAAGGTTCATTTCATTCTGGGCAGCACCATTCTCCCCAGATACTGTGTTCCCAAAGAGGTCCAGGCAGCCCTGGGAACCCAGCTGTCACCCAGCCTTTGCAGTCTCAGAACCCTGAGCTCTCCAGGAACACAGGAACAAACCATCATGCTGTAATATGCAGGCTGTCCAGGATAGGCTGAATAATGGCTGAGACACAGAGCAAAACAAATGGAGCTTCAGGAGGCTCCTGTCCTTCATCTTTCTTTGTCTTTGAGCAGCCTTCTCCTGCTTTGTGTCCCCATCATGATATGTGGCCCAGAACATAATTGACAGAGCCAAAGCACTACATTGAAACCTTTGAATCTGAGAGCCAAAGTCAATCTTTTTTGCTCAAGGACTGGTGATCTCAAGTGCTTTATTATAGTGACAGGAAGCTGGTTGAGATACACTCCTTACTCTAAAAGGGAAAAACAGAAGCATTAAAGGATCTAAAATGCAAAGCTTCTCCTTTCCAGTGCTTTGTGTCTGACTCAGTGTCTTGCACTCACTAATTTAATGCCATTGTGAGAAAAGGAATATTAACAATTTAAATCGCAGTTGGCCGTCTGTATCCTCTGTATGTGCATGTATGAATAAGCACAGTATCATGCATGTGTGTGTATGTGTGGAGGCCAGAGGCTGACATTGGATATCTTCTTCAATTATTCTGCACCTTAGTTTTTGAGACAGGATCTCTCTCTGGGCCTGAAGCTTGTTTAGCCAATGAATTATTGGCTTACTCAGCCAATAGGTTATATTGGCTGCCTGGAAAGCCCTAGAGGACTCCTTGTCTCCCCAGTGCTGGGATTATAGACAAATGCCACCTTGCCTGGCTTTTTATATGGGTGCAGGGGTCAAACTCATGTCTTCATGCCTTTGTAAGTACTTTAATCTTTGAACCATCTCTCCAGCCCACTGAAAATATTTTGAGATGTTGGGTGTGGTGGCACACACCTTTAATTTCAGCATTGAGGAGAGGCAGAGGCAGGTGGATCTCTGTGTTTGAGACCAGCCTGGTCTACAGAGAGTTCCAGGACAACCAGGGCTACACGGAAAAACCCTATCTCCAAAAAACAAAGCAAAATATTTTGAGAAACTATTCTACCCTTGGTAAACATGTGGGAACTTTTTCCTTGTGAATCCTACATCAACCTGTCATATAAAGCACTCTGGTGTAGTGGGTGTTGTCAGTCACTGAGGGAAGATTGAAGCCCAGGAGAAATGTGTAGATTCCATAGAGGAGTCTTGAGCACCCCTTTTTGATCTCTGAGGAGTGGTAGTTTCTCAAAAAGTCGCCCTCAAATATGAAAGGATAACCAGAATAAACAGCACAAATGTTGTAGCCATGTGTTGGGTAATGCCAGCTAGACATGCAAATGCCAGAACATTTAGCTGGTATGTAGAAACTCTTATGGGAACAGTTCACCGCATCCTAGAGATACTGCATGGCCAAAGTCCAGTGGCTTGCCTAGTAGTGTACCAGTACTTTCTACCCTTGCTTACTGATGGGAAAGAGAAGGACAGGACAGGAATGGTGGCACATGATTTTAATCCCAGCACCCAGGAGGCAGAGCCGGGCAGATGTCAGGCAGCCTGCTTTACATAGCAAGTTCCAGGCCAGCCAAGGCTTTACAGTAAAGTCCCTATCTCAAACAACAGC